GGTTTGCCCTACTGACGTAATACCAGGCGCTACGCCACGCTGTGGCGGCGGCGCCTGGGCGGGTGCGGTCACACGAGGTGGCTGGGCCTCAGGTAGCATCACAGATGGAGGCTGCAGCAGGGCTGCTGTGCCAGGTTGGCAATGACATGAGCAGCACCTGGTGATGTCATGGTATGCAGACCCTGTTGGTGGGCTGCTGGGTGCTGTCCTAACCTTTGGCATGGCTGTGCCTGTGCCCTGAGCTTTTATCTGGCAAGATGGAGTCAGGCCACGTGCTGGGAGGGTGGCAGTGACACATCCTACTGACGGGGCCACCTCTGCTGCCTTCAAGCTCTCTTGGAGACTTAGGGACAACGCTCTTACCTCTCCATCACAGGCTGACGGAGACATCTTACAGAATTTATTCAAATATGTATCCTACCTGTTCTACTAGGCCATTTGTATTCCTAGTCCTTTGTGAGGACAGCCTGTGGTAGCTGCAGAGGAACGTCAGATTACAAATATGCAGTTTTGCATGTACCCCATGGGAATATTGGGAGATACAAGACTGTAAGGAAAGGAAATTATTTTTACTCAACAAACTCAAAATGCTTGTGAAGACCAGAAAACATTTTCTCTGATTTTCTGTTGCAGACTCAAAAGGGTGTTCTGTCCTCAAAATTGGTCCTATTTTGTGTTTTTAATTGCCATCCTAATCTAATACTTATGTCTATAGAACAGCCTGTTACAAAAGAGACACTTTGCCCTGTAATATTTGCTCTCATGAGTACTGCCACAAAGGTAGTAATCAGCATAATTCTCTACTTGCTCTGCTAAATCATTGGCAACCATGTTGTTTATTGGTTAAATGTTTAGTTGCTTTAGCAAAGAAAATGGGATCTTAAATGGCTTATTTTCATGTTTGTTTATTTTTCCCAATGTAGCGGGACCAGTAAGACAGAATAGTGTCAGGGAAATGCAATATTCACAAAAATTCTGTACTGAAAACCTGCTATTAATTTACTGGCATTAACTTGCTTTTGTAATCATATCTTAGTCTGGTTTTAAAAGCTGTGTGAAGTGGACTGAAAAACATACTTTCCTGCTG